ACACACACACACACACACACACACACACACACACACACTAGTTGGGCTCCTCTTAGTCATAGAGAACCCCTTTCTCTAAGCATACTCATGGACACAATATCCCTGACTCTCACAGGCTGTCTGGGGAGCACCACATTCTGCACATGCAGACACTGAGGCCCAGGTTCGTCCAGCTGGGCACACATACAGCACGTGATGGGACCAGAACTCAGGGTGCAGACTTCCTGGGTACCCTCCTGGGAGCCTGAGAGGATGCAGAGAAATGTGGAGGGTCCATAGGAAATGGAGAGAGCTGTATGATGATGCTCTTCTAGGTGGGCAGTGGAAAAGGTATCACTGAGCACATGATGACAGGGACCCTGAACTCAGCTGAGGTCATCTCAGAGGCCATCCCCGGCACTCACAGGATTGCCAGTCCATCCACCTCAGAGCCCTTCCCTCTGTGGGTGAGGGAGCAGTGCGCTCCCTGAGAACTTCTCAAGGTCACTCACAGGGAAGGTCACCTTGCTGCTTTCGGCATTGAGACCCCTCCGGAGTGTGACGTAGGGAGCAATGGTGGACGACTGCTGGAGCCTTGACGTAGACCCTGAGAGGCCTTGGTGAGGAAACAGAAGAGCAAGTGTATTTGTGATGGGGTGGACAGGTCACCAGCCCCTCCCTAATCACCTCCCACTCCTGTGAGGGGGGCCATGAGGACCTAGCTAGAAGAACCCATTCTTCTTCTTCCCTAGGGCGAGGAAGAGCAGGCCCAGATAGAGGCCAGCCCAGGAGTGCTCTCTGTCCCCAATAGGGAACAATGTCCCCGGAGACCTGCAGACTACCCTAGTCTTCCCTCACATGCAGAAGACCTGGACAGCTTGGCAGGTAGAAAGGATGAAGGGGAAGGAATGTCCTTCATCCTTTCTTCCTGATGCACTACATGGCCCAACTTGGATGCCCTGCCTCTGTGAAGCCTTCTCAAATGTCCCAGCAGAATCTATTATCCTCTATATCCTTCAGTATATTCCTTGGTTACTGCACTGACCACAATGTCAACATACCTGTTCAACTAGACTGCAAATTCAACAATGCCTGGTTGGTTGAATGACTGACTGACCGACTGACTGAATAAATGAATGAACGGAAAGCAGCAGCACCAGGTATTTGTTGAGCTCTTAACTATGTAACAGGCAGGCACTGTGCTAGGTGTTTTATATAGATTTTGTTCCACTGGCCTTACTATGTAAGCATTACCTGACCATTGTAGAGATGCACAATCTAAGACTCAGAGAGGTCAAGGAACTTGTCCAAGGTCACGTGGTAGGAATATCATCGGCCATGTGCTTCCCATGTTTAGGGTCCTAGAGCTTACAGAAATCATCTCACCCTGGCTGGCTGGAGCCACCACCTATGCTTTCTCCACTAACACCAATTCTTATCAGGGGTCGTCCCTGACATGTGGAAATGGACATCACACTGACTGAGGACACTGCTAGCATTTAGCATGTAGGGAAAAGAATGATTAATGTCCTGCAATGCAAAAAGAATCCTGAGCAACAAAGAAATGTCCTGCCCTAAGTGCCACTGATAAACATCTCTAGGCCACAACGAATTAAGGGAACAGTGCCCCTGGGCACAGTGCCAAGGGTTGCTGTGGCCCACACTCAGCGAAATCCAGAGCCTATGCCCTCCAGAACCAGCTCCGGCCATAGCATGCCTAGGAAGCATGGTGGGCCAGGAGTCCCATAACCCCACAAGTGCTAGAACCATAGCTGTGTCTCTCTCTGCTTCTGCATCTTGCCAGAGAAGGAAAGCACTTGACTGCCCACCATGGGGAGCAGATAGGAGGGGATCAGGGGAGGAACAGATGAAGGTGCATGGTCAGCCTGCTCAGGGATTCCAGGAGACCCAGATGCAAAAAGGTGGAGAGACCTCCCTTGAAGGGGATTTCTGAGGAGAGGGTCTGGCTATGGGGAAAATGGGGGATGGGTGAGCCTAAGGGCCTAAGTATGTTCCTATCTCCGTCTTAAAGAGCTAGGAGAGGACAGTGAGGACAATGCCCAATTGTTTAAAGAAAGGACTCGTGGAGTCTCCGAGTGACACAGAAGAGCAAAATCCCCCTGGAAGGCCTAGGATGGCCATACTGGAGTCAGTCATCCAACATCCCTGCCTGCAGGGTACAATGGCCTGAAGCCACAACACTGGGATTGCATTCTGGCCCCTCATGTACTTACTATTTGGTAAGTCAGTTAATTTCTCTGAGACGTAGTCTTCTTGTCTCTAAAATGGGTATAATAATGGTACTTCCTTCATAGGATTATTACAAATATTAACTAAAAGAATATGAAGTGCTTAAAACAGGGCTGTACTTCATAGTAATTGCTATTACCATTATTTCTGGGGGCAGATGTAATAAAAGAGAATCAGGATGTGGGCCAGAGGAAGGAAGGACAGGCCCTCCCTGCAGCCCAGAGTCTCCCCGACAGCTGCTGCCCATGCTGAGGCCCAAGGCTGCAGGCAGAAGGGTGTGAAGTAGCAGGTGAGAGCTAGGGAACAAGTGGTATGGTAGAAGTGGGGGTTCCCAAAAAGCCTCCGTGGAGTTTTGCCTTACCTCTGCCTGGCAGGGTCTGGTACCTGCTGTCAGGGCCCACAAGTCCCAGGGAGGGCTGGGCCACGTCCCCACTGAAAGTCGCCAGCTCGGGTTCACTAACGTACGACCGGAGCTCTACCTGTGGGCAGAGTCTGAGGCTGTCATACCTGCCCAGTGTCATACCACCTTCCCTCCCCTCGCTCACAATGGGACAGCCCCAGGGGTCCTCCCTGCTCACCCTGGAGTCCCCATTCACACACAGCCCCTGCTCCCGGTCTCGCTTCCTCTCATCCGACTGCCGCTTAAGGCCCCTCACTGAAGTGTGCCGGATGACGGTGGCCTCCTTTGGCAGAGGTGGCACGGCCGGGGGCTGGTCCTCTGGACTGTAGAGCTCGGGGAGTGGGGGCCTGGGAGGTGCCTCGTCTTCCTGCTCAGAAAAAGAACCAGAATCAGTGCCCAGTGAGAGGGAGCTGGAGGGAGGATGCCTCCCCGTCAGGCATAGAGCAGGCCACACGAGGCCTGCAGAGCATGACTGCTTCGGCCCAGGGATGCCAACATTTCCCCTGGATGAGCTGTGAAGAAGGGGAATGCCTCTGCTCTGATCCTGTTCTTCCCTTCCATTCACTCCTTTTCCATTCTTCAAAGCATAACCTGTACAAAATCCAGAACTCAGGTTTCCTGTGTCCATGGTCTTACTTCACTTGCCAGAAGAGCACCATGGGGGGAGCAGGCTGGTAACTCCATGCTTATTTGTATGTTTGACAGAACCCCCCCCCCCCACATCTACCCCACTCCCTGGTGCTCACGCTGAGCTGACTAGCTGTCCCCACATGGTCTCTGGACCCTTCAACAGATTGGGATCTGAGCAAGGACAGTCTACATCGTCCTGCCCTTTCTATCAGAAATGTGCGTGGTTACAAAATATTTCCTCCTTCCTGACTCAGGCATGAATAAGGAGTCAGCATGGGTGACTCACTGCCTTCCCGTCAGCCCACTCCCTGGCGGTGATGAATGTAACTATTTTTCTTGAAACGGACCCCCACACCCCCCAACAATGTTCTTTGAGAGCTGTGGCTTTTGCACAGACCAACAGCCTGGCCCCTGACTGTCATAAACACCCACCTGTGGAATCAATGACCACTGGGGCTCCTTCCTAAACGCCCCCTTTCTTAGCTTAATTTTGCTTTGTTTTTCAGGATTTGGGAGAGGTCAGAAAAGGGTACTGAAGCTTGCTCTACAAAGGTTAATCCGCATTCTAGTAAAGTGACACAGCTCACTGTTGTGTGAAAACTAAGCTGCCTGTCCCAGATCCCCGTAGGCCCTCTGAGCATCAGTGGCTTCCAACCCTGACAAGGTCTTGGAATCACCAATTTCTAAAAAGCTCCCTGGAAAGATAAACGCAAAACACTGACGCAAACACAAAACTGCCTTTGATCAAAAGGAATAGAATGTCTGGAGATGGAGGGTGGGAGCAGACACTTTATTATATACTTTTTTTGGTATATTCTGATTTTGTGTCCTGTGACAGTATTACCTAATAAAAAAAGTAAATGATATTAAATTCAAGAAAATAAGCCAAATAAAAATGAAAGAACTATAGCTACACACAACAATATAAGTCTCACAAATACAATGTTAATGAAAAAGTGCAAGATACAAAAGAATACAGTATCACCTACAGGCAAAATTAAAGTGTTTAGACACAGGTAGCAACATTTCAAAAAGAGAAAAGAGGCAAGGAAATTGTCCGAGTCAAGATAGTGATAGTGGCACAAAAGGACTCATAGTCCTGAGGGCTCCAGTTGCTGACAAAGTTCTATTTCTTGGTTTGCGTGTTGGTACAAACAGGTGGCCTCTTTATCATTTGTTAAATCATATATTTAGGCTTTATGTCCATTTCAGGATATCATTGTTTCACAAATATAAATATAAACCAAGCAAACGACAATAAAATATGGTAAACCTGGTAAATGAAAGGAAAGAAGACCACCCCCAGGCAGTGACCCTGATGCTCAATCAGGTTGAAAAGCCCTGTCTGCAAGCCACAGAGGACCAAGCTGTGAAGAGCCTCTGTGACCATCTATCCCAAGCTGCTTGTTCTGTACCAGGGGAAACTGAAGAAGCCCAGAGAAGGGGTGGGCCTTGCCCAAGAACCCAGTGAGAGAACAAGAACTGGAATCCAGCACAGATCCCCGGCCACCACCTCCTCCTTCTTCTCCCCATCCTGGCTAGCAGGCGTCTCACCTTAAGTCAGGAGCTCTCTGCCCCAGCCATTCCTGCTGTTTGTTTTGCTATTTTCTGTTCTGTGGCTGGTACCCCCATTGCCTCTTAGATATAAAATTGGGAAAGAGACCTCAACATGAAGAAACTCACAGCAACTCAGTCCCAGCACCTGTCGTTCCAGCTCTGGGCCCTGGGCTACGGCAGGAAGCAGGTGGACAGTGAGGACCAGGGTATGGGAATTTGTGTGTTTTAGCCAGCATTGCACACCAACCTTGTCACAGGTCCTAGGCACACCCAGTGCCCAGGCAAAGCTCCTCTAAGCCTTTGTTGGCAAAACCTGAAGGTCCCCATCTCAAGGTCCCCTCTACTATGGCTTCCCTGTCACTTAGGCTAGATCCCTCGTATTCTCCAGCCAAGGCTGGCCTGGCCCTGGAGACACGAACCATCACAGTACCTGACCACATCTTCTATTTCCTTAAAGTCTGCTCCCAGATTCTGTCAAAAGCTTGGCCCTTCTCTTTGCCAGTCAAGCCAAGGTGTTGGCTCAGGCAACCACATGGCCACAAAACTGATCTGAGGAGCTGGGCTGAATGTCCAGTTAGATGGCAGGTGGCACAAAGAACAGTCAGGAGATGTGGACTGGATCCACTAATATGGAGATCTCAAGCAAACGTTAACACATTTGGGCCTCAGTTCTCATATGTGTAGAATGGGATACAGACCTTCCTTCTATACTCCGTGAGGTTATTGTGAAGATCAATTGTATTCTACAACCCACAGAGTGCTCAGCTGCCGATGAAGACAAAATACTCTTGCTGAGAGGAATTCATCACCCACAGGCTTGTGTAACTCCAGGTTTGCAAGGAGTCCTGTGTGGGGCTACCTACCTCTGCATGATGCATGTCACAAATTCCACCCTACTTAACACAATCACTTCTTCTTGCTGGACCTCGGTTTTCCCAACTGCAAAATGGGAAGGTTGGGCTAGATCCTCTCTAAGGCCCTTTCCAGTTCTGGCAGTCTAAAGCACAACAGCAAGGCCCTACCACTCCTTAACTATTCATAGCTGAGGACTCTGGCTGGTTCTGTCTTCCCAGGTTTTCCCAAAAGCTTCTCTCCCAACAGAAGCTGACCTGAGGAGAGAGAGGGACAACAGCGCTCAGCAACTGGCCATCGATACTTACAACTTTGGGCTTCGTCTTGGTTGGTGACTGAAGAGGGGATGTCACTTTCCTCAGCTGGGGTGGATGAGGTCGGTACGGCACATAGGTTTGCAGCTGGGGGAAGAGTCGAACCTCCAGAGGGGTCCGCACGGGGCTGGTGGGAGGGCTGGACTGTGGGGGTGGCTTGCTCTCAGAAGTTGAGAGTGAAGGCACAGGCGGATGAGGAAACAAAGGCACCGTTTTTCTCTCTAAAGCATGTGGAGGCAAACAAAGGATGGAATGGAACAAAGACCCTCGTCTCTGGAGGACAAGGGGAGGGGCTTACGCCATAAAGATCTGACCTCTGCAAGGGCCAGCCCACAAACCTGGGTGTTGGCCTCCAACCCCCTGACTCCAGGAAGATGGCCTCCTCACCTGGATTTTTGACTGATTCCACCAGGATTCTAAAGTTCTCTTTATTTGCACTCAGGCCTGCAATGACGTCTTCAATCCTCCAGAGATCCTTCTGTATCTGCGATTTCTCCTGAGAAAGACAAGGTGGTGGTTCATTTCCCTCTCAGATCCTCACCAGAAGTTTCTCATTAGGACTTACGCTATCATTTCAGACACAGCACCTCACCCTGGGTGGGGCAGCATCCCCTCTGGAAACCCCACCAGGGCTAGAGCCAAGCCTGCCTCGAAGCTTCAGAGGGTACCACACACATGGAAAACGCCCAAGATCTAGGGGAGAAATTCAGAGGATCTTTCACATATTCACCTTGCCTATTTCTCCCAAATTTAAAAGATTGCCTTAAATACTATGGAAATGCTTCCACTTATAAGGTATCTAGAGTAATCAAAGACAGAGACAGAAGGGTGGTTACCAGAAGCTGGGGTGGAGAAGGGAATAAGGATTGTTGTTTAATGGGTACAGAGATCCAGTTTTGCAAGATGAAGAAAATTCTGCAGATGGGTTGCACAACGTGAATGTAGTTCACACTACTCAACCATATGTTAAAAATGGCTAAGGTAATCAACTTTGTTATATATATTTTATCACAGTTAAAAAAAATAGACTGTTTTAGGCAACCATGGCAAAAGGGAAGAGAAGGCAAGGACTAGAGGTTACACTATCCCCAGAATATAAAGAGCATCTTTTAAAAAACTATTTCATATTTTTTAAGTAGGCTCTACACCCAACGTGGGGTGTGAACTCATGATCCCAAGATCAATAGTTTCATGCCCTACTGACTGAGCCAGACTGGTGCCCCATAAAGAACATCTTTTAAAAGACAGAGCTGAATCCTGGGATTTGGGGTTAAGAGTACAATGGGCGAGTATTTGGCAATAAGAAGAAATGAAGTATTAATACATGTTATAACATGGATGAACCTTGAAAACATTTATGCGAAGTGAAAGAAGCTAGACACAAAAGGCCATTTGTTATGTCACTTATACAAAATGTCCAGAAGAGATAAATCTACAGAGACACAAAGTAGATGAGGTGGGGGTGTGGATGGGGAGTGACTCTTAATGGATAGAGGGTTTCTTTTGGGGGAATGATGAAAATGTTACAAAACTGTGGTGACAGTTGCACAATTCTAAATATTCTAAATACCACTGAATTGTATACCTTAAAAAGGTGAATTTTATGGTATGTGAATTATGTGACAAAACTTATTTTTTTTAAAAGTACAATGGGAAAAGGGCCAGGCTACCCAACCATATGCATACTCTGACAAGTTACAATAGAAATCGGACGGGGAGAGATACTAAAAAGAGGTGAGCAGACTTTATCAGGATTAAGGGACTGTGGGCATTTTATGGAGTGTAGTTGACACACAATGTTACGTTAGTTTCAGGTAACATAGTGATTCAACTGCTCTATATGTTACACTATGCTCACCACAAGTGTAGCTACTGTCTGTCAAGATACCACCATACAATGCTATTACAATATCACTATGTTCCCTATGCTGTGCCTTTTAATCTAATGATTTATTCTTTTATTGACTAGAAGCCAATACCTCCCCCCGCTCCCCTTTACCTGTTTTGTGCATCCCCCTCAACCCCTTCCCTTCTGGCAACCATCAGTTTGTTCTCTGTATTTACAGGTCTGAGTCTGCTTTTTTGTTTATTCTTTTGTATTTTGAGATTCCGCATGAGTGAAATCATATGGTATTTGTCTTTCTCAGTCTGACTTATTTCGCCTAGCATAAATACCATCCGTGTTGCTGCAAAAGGCATGAGCTCATCTTTTTTATAACTATGTAATATTCCATTGTGTGTGTGTGTATAACACATCTTCTTTATCCATTTGTCTACAGATGGACATTTAGGTTGCTTCCATATTGTGGCTATCGTAAATAATGCTACAATAAATATAGGGGTGCATGTATCTTTTAAAATTAGTGTTTTTGTTTTCTTCAGGTAAATACCCAATAGAGGAGTTACTGGATCATACAGTATTTCTAATTTTTTGAGGAACCTCAATGCTGTTTTCTACAGTGGCTATACCAATTTACACTCCCACCAACAGAACACAAGGGTTCCTTTTTCTCCACATCCTCACCAACATTTATTTCTTGTCTTTTTTATTGCAGCCATTCTGAGAAGTATAAGGTGATACTGTATGGCTTCTTTCAAAAAAAAAAAAAGTTTGTTTTTTTTTTTTTTTGGCGTTGGGTTGTAAGTTCTTTATATATTCTGGATATTAACCTGTGGGCAACTTTTAATAGAGTTGTTTGAACATGAAAGTATTCTTTTAATTTTTTTAATGTTTGTTTAATTTTGAGAGAGAGAGAGAGAGAGAAAACAGGAGCAGGGGAGGGGCAGAGAGAGAAGGAGACACAAAATCCCAAGCAGGCTTTGTGCTGTCAGTGCAGAGCTCAATGTCTGCCTCAATCTAACAAACCGTGAGATCGTGACCTGAGCTGAAACCAAGAGTCAGACACTTAACCGACTGAGCCACCCAGGCGTCCCAGTATTCTTTTAAGTTTTAAACTATCATGGGAGAACTTAGCTGTGATCATTCCTCCATGGGCTTAAAAGCAAAGTCCTCATACCACATCTGCTCTCGAGGCGCCCAGTCACCCTCAAGTGGAAGGATTCTTGCATGTGTGATACTTAAGGACTTGCCTGATTCTGCAAGTAGACTATGTGCTCCTTGGTATATCCCCACAGGGCTGGGGACCCAGCAGGCTCTCAGTACATGTATGTTGAGTGAAAAAAGGACCAATCACATAAAGTTCCTTGACCAAATGAGACAACATTTGGAGCTGAGACAACAGATGTCTCCTAAAGGAGCTCACATTCTCATACTCTCTCCATCCTTCCAACATCAACGCACATCCTCTCAGGGCTGATAAACAAGGAATGGGCTTGATGCTTAGCGCTACACCAAAGCACGAGTGCCCTAAAACAGACATGTTATTGAGCCCAGAGTGGGTGTGTAAGCTAACAAGATTATCTCTGGAGCAGACTAAGCAGAATGCTGGGAAAAGGTAAAGGAGGAGTATCAGATTAAAATCAACACTTTCCCCTCTCCTCTGGCAGTCTACCTGGCATACATACCTGTCAGGTTACAGTCCTGCCCCCATTTTGCCTTTCTGCCACCCTCGTATGTAAGAAAAGAGCAACAACCCAGCGAAAGCCAGAGAATCTCTAAGGTTCTCCAACGATAATGGAATTTCAGAACTTAATGACAAAGTCAAGGAAGCTTTTGGGGAGCACGGGGTGGTTTTCATTCCTGCATCCACACACCATGCTGGGCAGGGAAGGCTACTACATACTGCATTCAGCACAGGCTTGAATTTATTGTCCAGAAGTAAGAACACATACAGGTAGCCTCACTTATCACATAGTTTTCACACAGTTACCTGGATGTTCTTTATTCTCTGGCTTCCCTGCACAGGTGGTCATGAGGATCTTTATAAACAAATCCACTCATCTTCACTGAAAAGCCTACAAATTTTCTCACAGCCAAACCTGGCTAAAGGGAGGCAAGTTTCCAAGCAAGTTCCACTGCTGAGAATTTGCATATGTGGCTACAAGCGTATCTCCAGTGTTAATGACTCTGGAGTCTAATATCAGGACTCTAACAGCTTGTCTGGTCTAGAATTACACCAAAGAAGTTAGCACAAAGGCTGTTCAAAGAAGGGCTTTGTGAGCTTCCGAGGTCACTTTGGCACTCAGGGAAAGCAAGAGCAATGCCTCCAGCCTAGGTAGACATCAAGCTGCAGGGCCTAGGCTTCAATCTAGCCTAGCTCTTTATAACTTACATGGTTAAGTTCTCCAGGGAGTCTGTGACAAGACTTATACATTGTACTCATTTGTTTTTTAGATCAGAGAAAGGGATTCTGGGACTGCTGCAAGTTAAATCACCATGAAATAAGGCACGGTAGAAACACAAATGGCCAATGATCATATAAAAAGATGTTTACCCTACTAGTGATTAAATTGATGCAAATTAAAACAAGATGTCCTTTTCAGCCAGCAGAATGACAAAAGCTAAAAAGACTGATAACATCAAGTGCTGGAGGAGCTGTAGGTAAACAGGGTTCAGCACCCTCATTCACTGTGGGTGGGAGGGCAAATGAGTGCACCCTTTTAGAGGGTGACTGGGCAGCATCCATCAACATTTAAGATGTACACTCATTTCAACAGAGCAAGGCCACTCCTAAAAGCCTATCTTAGATAAACGCTTATAAATGGGCTTGAAAAGGCAGTTACACAGATGTTTTTTGTGGTACCATTATAAAAGCAAAACACTGCAAATAACTTAAATGCCCATCAGAAAGGAATGGCTAAGGTATAGAATATCTAGACTATGAAAACTATGCAGCTGTTAAGAACTAATTTCTTTTACTTTACACGGCCTTCTGAGATTATGGAAATCTTCTATAATCTGTGCCGTTCAATACAGTATCTACCAGCCACACGTGAGCTACTACTGAGCATTTGAAATGATTCTAGTGTGACTGAGGAATATATTTTTAATTTTAGTTAATTTCAATTAATTTATGTTTACACTTAAATAGCTACTGTATCAGGCAACATAAACTTGGGGGTATTTTTCCTGGAAAGATTTCTGTAACATAAAGTTCTGACAAAAAAGCAAGTAACCGAACGTGTAAGTATGATTCCTCTCCTAAGTACACCCAACTCACACCCCCAAATAAATTATTTTATGTATGGGCACATGTCTGAAAATGCACAGAAAATGGTATGGAAGACAATACCACCCACTGATGGCACTGATTACATACAGAGAAGGTGACAGACTGGAGCAGAAAGAGAAGGGAGGGAAGAGGGGCTTTTATTTCATGTTTTGCTTTTTCTTCTTATTGTTTGGCCTTTACAGAGAGATGCATTCATGTATTATTTTTATAATTATAGAAACACAAGGAATGAAAAGCTAAAAAACGTTACTGCTAAAATTAATGTAGATCATTGAAAAAGATCCAAGAAGATAAGTATAATGGGACAGAACACTTTAAGGAACTAGTAACTAGAAATAATCACTTGAAGGACTTTGTCAACCGTATTCACTAGTATTTTCAAGCCACTATGCCAAGTGCTGTGGTACCAAAAAAAGAATAGGAAAAGGTTAGCTTGGGTTCGGGGAAATTATGGGGGGAAAAAAACAACAGCAAGAGACAGACAACTTCTGGGAGACCTAGCAGGCCAGCCCAGCCCTGAGCTACAGGCAAGAGTCTTCTCCACATGGTCTTGGACGAGGTTTCTGGGAATTGGCCCCCAGTGGTGAGTGGAGGGATAGCAGGCATCTCCAGGGCCACAAACCCAGTTCACCTCTTGTATTCCTTCACTAACATCCAAAGTCAGTACGTATACAAAGTCACTTTAAGGAAGAGCCTTGGCTAGAACCAGTCCATCGATTAGAAAGCTTAGCGTCAAAATTGGCCTAGCATGGTGCTTCATGCACAAGATGTCTCAATGAATGCTTGCTGATTTCAAATAAATTGAATTGATGTCAGGGAACTGATGGAAGAGATACAGTAGATCTGAAGTTGGGTTCAAAAGCAGGTTATTTTCCATTTTTAAAAATTTGAGGGTGGGCAGAAGCCTGATCGGGCACCACAATGGGGAAACACTGGGCAGCTGGAGGACCCAGCCTGGAAGAATAAAGACCACATAGGGCCTTTCTTCTCTCACCTTTGGGGGCAGAGGCAGCCATCAATGGAGTGGCCTGGTTTTAAGGGTAGAGGAGGCAGGGCTCTAAGGCTGCCTTTCCTGAGTAGAGCAGTGGCCACAGTGATGGGTATCTCCCAGCCTGGCTCCAGAAATGCAAATAACTGCCTGGAGACCAGAGGCACCTAGATGGACCTGGAGTCACACTGCCTCCTCAGGTGAAGGACTGATAACATCTATCTTCAGGAATCAGAGGAAGGAAGGAAGGAAGGAAGGAAGGAAGGAAGGAAGGAAGGAAGGAAGGGAGGGAAGAAGGAAGGAAGGAAGGAAGGAAGGAAGAGGAAGGAAGGAAGGAAGGAAGGAAGGAAGGAAGGAAGGAAGGAAGGAGGTGGGGCTTTCTGCCGCTGTCTAGGCGATATTAAAAATGGAACCAAGATCTTGGGAGACGGGTCTCTCAAGTGTCTGTAAGGTTCTCAAGCTCGGTATTTCTCTCCCCTCAGGGCCATTTCCTCCAAATGATCCGTAACAAGCCTGAGAGCAGAAGTACTGAGGTGAGTTCTCATCACAGCTTCTTGAGGGGGCTGGGGGGGGGGGGAGCAGGCTGAGTCCCGGTGGGGGAGGAAAAAGCCCCTGGGTAGGGCTCACAGCCCCACAGGTGAAGGCTCTCAGAAGAGATCAGACTTCAGAAGGGATGAAGAGCCCTTGGGTCACCTGGAAAAAAAAGGCTCTTCTGTGTTGTTCTTGCAGGGTCTGCTTCAGCTGCTCCACATCACTCTCTAACTTCAGATATTCATTCCAGGCATTCTCCATCTCCTGTGGGCCAAGAAAATGCTTCTGATTCTTAGTTATCCCCTGACCCCAAGACGGGCCCATGAGCACCTGTGCTCTTGACCACTGCTGACCCAGCCAGGGGAATAGGAAAGGGGGGTCCCAGAGGGTCTCAGGCAGGCCTGGTACGAGAGAGACAGGGCTTGTCTTCTCATTCCTGCTCTGACCCAGGCCACCTGCATTGTTCCCTCTCCCACACTTGGAGATGCTTTGGTCCCCCACCCCGGCAGAAAGCACCTGCACCACACGAGATGGACAAATAAAAAAGGAGAAATTCTGACATGCTGGAATTAACTGTACACAGTTCAGGGGAAGGGCCTTGCAGGCTGCTCTGAGAAATGTGGTCCCCTTGGTGTTTCACTGTAGCCATACAGGAGTCACTATATCAAGACTCTTGTCCCCGGCCACCAACTCAACTACAGCTGTGAGATAGGAGAAGCAGCCCCCTGCCCAGCCCATCGTGGGGGGCTGGGTGGAGGAATGGGGGCAGGGGAGTGTCTGCCACCCTCCACACCCTCTACACACAGTGGACTCTCTGGAGATCTCCGCCCGGATGTGGACAAGGTCCTCCTGCAGCAACCTCTGCTGGTAAGCAATCTTCTCCAGGTGCTGGGGCTGGTCTCGGTACTGCTCCATCTGTCTGTGCAATACCTCCAGGACGGACTCTAGCTGGTCCTACATCGGGCAAGGGCCAAAGAGCAAGAGGAAAGCAGGACAGTCCCTGAAGGCCTCCCCATACCATGCTAGGAACTAAATAAATCTGCTGGATCTAAGGCTGAAGGACCTACTGCCCAGCTGCAGCCTGAGTCAGGGCCTCTGATTCCAGCTCTAACTCTGCCCACTGGGTGGCCTCCTAGGACAAGTCACCTAATAGCTCTGTGCCTAAACTTCCTCATCTGTGAAGTGGGTATAAGATCATCCACTCTTTATGGGATAAACTATAAGGATACATCAAAGAGTAGATGGAAAATTCTCTTAAGTTTTATCAGCACATGTTATAAACCTTCAGCATCACAAATACAATGCCTTATTAAAGTGCAAAAAAAAAAAAATATCACACTAAGGGTCCAAGAAACCAAACACTGCAGCCCCTGGCCTGTTCCTCCTCTCTCATCTAGACTTGCTTCCTCCATAGCCCAGATCCTAGGAGGAAAGGAGCTCTAGAAAGTGATAGCCTCTGTCCTATTATAAGTATGGCCACTTTCTCCAAGGCAGTCCCCTTGCATGGAATTCAGGGGCCTGGGGTCATCACATACAAGCCAGTGGAGCCCTCCTCCCCCAGGCTAACCTCATGGTGCCTCTCAGGAGAGTTAAGTCAGAGCAGAATTAAGGTGGGGGAGGGGTAGGTGGCACTCGGAATAAGCAGTCTGAAGTCTCCCCAAAAGATTTCCTCCAGGTTTAGGCAGAAACCCTCCTGGAAGCACCCTTTAAACCCACACATTGTTCTAGATAAACAAGTACCTGTTCTGGCTAAATGAATACCTGTGACATGACAGTCCAATCTGTATCTGTGGAAAATACAGAATGACAAAACCCCCTGCCAGCCAGCCCAAGATTATGTGAAACTGACGCATACTTTGTTCTCCTTGAGGGCTCGGATCTTGTCTTCCAAGTCCTGGAGGATCCTGTCTTGTTCACAGAAGATGCTCAGTTTGACCTGTGAGCAAGAACAGGTGGGAGAAGGCCTGGGATGATGAGAAAAGGGCACAACCTTGAAGTGTGATCAGAAGGTCTTTGGCCTTCCAATCCCTCCAAACCCCGTCTGAAACTGCCCGCCCACCCTGGGTCTGGGGGCAGCAGGCAGCCGGGGGGTCAGCCTGTCACCCTGTTTACTCACGTCAATGTCACTCTCCGCGATCTTCACTGGCTTCAGACTTCGATCCTTGACGAGATCCCTGCCTGTCATCTGGGAGGTGAACAATTTAAAGCAGATTAACCCCAATGTTCAGGATTAGACTTAGAGAAGGAGAGTTAGCCCCACAATGGACAAGTGTGGAAGTCTTTACAGGTAGGGTCATAGCATGAAAAGGGCAAAAACTCAGATGCTACCTCATTTGTATGCCTGTTTCATTTTAGGGAAAAACCAAAGCCTTTTTGTGATTCAAGAAGCACTTGTAAATTCCTCAAACTAAAGAATAAGTAGGCATCCAAGATATAGTCTCATTGACTGTGGAAGCTTAATTTGCCCAAAGTGAATCCAGTATGAATCCTGGAAGATTTAAAAGACACAGTTTAGCTATCGAAAATGTGACCCCCCACCCAGGGCAGTGAGGTGAACCAGGAGGAACCAGTGAGCCCCTGGGGCACTGTCAAGCCTTAGTTTAAGGAAGCCTCTTAGCAGCTTACTTCCCCATGAGCAAGGTCAGCCTATCTCATCCTATACCATTTGGGAAGAGAATTTGGTCAAGGGATGAAGGAACCTGGATGGCTGGGGTTTTCAATTGATCCCTAAATAACTGAGGCTAGGTCATACTTGTGTAAGTCACAAGTTACCCTGTCCTCTCAAGAAAGGAAACCAAGAAGCAGTAAACCTTATGAGCCAGTGGGCATTCATAACATTGTCCATCCTTCCCTTGACCCCACGTGGGCACCATGCTGCCATCTCCCACTAACCCCTACAAAGCTAAACCCAACTCTTTAGCCCATGTTTTCACTCCCCCCTAATCTCCTTCATGCCAAAAGCTGTATGGGGTGGGGGAGGGGGAACTTTTCCACAGACGCACCCCCCTGGCCAAGTCATGGTCAGGGAGAGCCAGGTCAAATATGCCCCATGCAAGGAAGACCATCTTGCTGAACTCCATTTTGCAGATATGACCAAGGAAACAGGGTGGAGTCAACCATAGCTGAGATAGGTGATGTGTATACTATGCAGAGGGTTCCAGTGTGGATGGATAGACAATTGCTGGAGAGATGGCCCTCACTTTCTCCCTACTCCATCTGAGAGGTCCACTAAGTTTGTGAGTGTAAATAAGAAGCAAAAATATATTGGCAAACATCCTCCTTAAAACTCAAGCCACTCATGTGCCCAACTGTCCTACACTCCTTCTTCCTATAATCACTGGCAAATGCGAAGGTCAAGGTCAAGGGACAATGCCATCTCTAGGCCTTGGGCTGAGGGCTGACTCTGGCTGCAGACACACCCCCATCCATTCCTATGCTCCTTTTGGTCACACAGTAGATGGCAGGGACAGATGTCTTATTTATCTTGGTCAAGTCAGCCCTGAACATAAAGCCTGGCACACTGGAAGGCACTGGGAAAATGCTTATTGCATTGCAGGTAAGTCAAAGGTAAAACACATGTGGGTCAGTGCTGTAGCATCCTGGAAAAAATAGAACTCCAGCCAAATTCTGCTCTTCAGACTGGCAGATTATGTGTACATACATGTATACACACAGTCACGGAACACATGGACTACTGCCACAATCCACAAACAAACTGCTGGCTCCTGCAAGGACAGAGGGGCAGGAAAGGTGGGGAGAATAAGGATAGGGAGGAGGAGGAGGAGGGGTGGAATGAACCTGGTGAACCACGAACAGCTGAACCTTCCAGGCAGGACTTGGGCCAAACTCAGGGGAACCCAGCAGGTAAAGGTAGGGAGGTCACTCTGTGTCACAGTCCTCCATTAAAGCAGAGGACAATGAGCTGGTCTACTCTCCAAAGGGCTGACCCTTGGCTCACTTCCCAGGAAGAAATCATTTTCAAATTGAGATATGCTGTGGGGATTTTTCCTCCTAGCAAAACTCTTCCCGATTTCACTGACGCTTTTAACAGATGATATCTTTTTGATACTGAAATAGCAAGGCAGAGAATCTAATTGAGCAATGCCTCATTTATCCAGCGCCATGAGGAATGACGTATTCGACACAAAAAAAGGCATTTTCAGAAAGCTGAACCTTTTAAACTTTTTGATGGAAAGGTTTCTAGAAGTAAATCCTACACTGCCTTCACAGAACTGAATATAAATTCAACCTTTTCGGGGATGAATCAGTCATTATAAAAATCAGTAATATGGAATTTCTTAGAAGTTAAGTGTATTAGGACCATTTGCCTCTTGATTACATTCTTCTAAATTTCTGTGCTTTCATTTCCGTTTTAGATTGACACATAATGTTTCTTTTCTCTCTCAGGACATTAGGTTACTCCCTCTTTTCTAAGAAGTAACTCTCTCTTGTCCCCTTTTAATGGCTGTGGTTAAGGTGCTGTGAGTTAGGAATTGAAATGACTGAGTCTGTTAGGACTGGAGACTCAACAGAGGGACAGATGCTGCTTTTCCCTAACTCCCTCACCTCCAACTGGGTCTGGTGCCCCTCAGGGGAGGTCCTCCCACACCTGATGTCTCCCACAACTATGGGCCTTAGTACATTAGATGATGTGCTCTCTCTCCCCTCAAAAGATAGTAACCTGATGAGAGGTGGTTGTAGGGACTATGACATATTTTCTCTGTATCCTCAAAGTCCAGCCAGGGCCCACCACACTGAGGATATTTGGGAAGTGTTTGCCTGATGAACCTGTGACCATATCAAAATCATGTGATTTGGCTCCTACTCCTATAGGCTTTAGACCATGGGCTTCATGAAAGTACTTACACAGCTCAAAGGCCCTTTAAACTTCTGAATTTAGCTTTGTTCTGGAGTCAAGGCTGCTATGAAATATCCACAAGTAGTATATTACATGTAATTTTCCTTTTAAAACTGTGTTTTGTGATAGCAATGTTTAAATCCATTTGAAATATCAACTATGTGTCTCCAGCATTTCTGTCACCAGAAAAAAGTGAAATTCAGTGGGCACTCATCCATTTGAAAGAGTCTGTGCACCAGAAAGGAACTGAAGGCCACTCAGGCATTTTACCTCCCTTCCACCACATCTCGACACACCTTTTCTCAGGGCTTGGGATGACTGCACATAGCACCTGCCTCCCAACCTGTAGCCTCCCTTGGAATGCTACAAAAGTTGGCTACATTTCAGGCACTACTTCTGCATCGGTCAAAGGGGGGACTTGGGAAAGGGGGTGGCCCATTTTGTTCTAGTCCAGCTCTAGACTGTTTTCAATAGCAACACCCTGCCCTGAAGAAGAGCCAGCCTAATCCCAAGGCCATGGTAGAATCTCAGGATATGCCAGAGGCTCCAAGGTGACCAGGAACTGCTAACTCCTTCCTAAGAACTCATGCTTGACTCCATAGACCACACTGGTCTCTGTCTAGGTCAGTCCTCGCCATGGAGGCAGAGAGAGAATGGGAACACAACACAAGCTGGTGGCAAGCCAGGCAAGCCCCTCCCACCCCCGCGGCAGCACAAAAGATGGAGTCACAGAACACCGCATGTGAGAGGTTCAGCTTGGTGCACCAGCCAAAATGCTGAAGGGAGCTTCAACAGGAGAAAAAAATAAACCGAGATGACTTGCAGGAAGCCTGGGGGCGGTCAGGAGAGCCCCTGGTTAAGCAAGTGATGAAGTCGGCACTGAGCCAAAAGCAATGGAATGGCCCCGCTTGGAGACACAGATCAGATCGTCTTACGCTTCTCCTGGGCCGACAGCCCCGTGCTGACTTCTTCAGCACTTTGTAAAGCACGTTGATCAAAGGTTCATTATTTTTTATCTGTTCCAAACAAAAAGGCAAATATAACAAAACGTAACAGGTGAGACATCAAAAGACACTTGAAGGAGCCAGAATTTGGGGAATCGGTAAGGGGAAACTTTAAGGAGGACACGTGCTGTGCAGTCCAAATGACTGAGTCTCAGTCTGGCTGTGCTGCTTCCCAGCTGCTGAGCCTTTCCAGATTTCAGATCCCTCACCTATAAAATGGGGGAAAATAACTTCTGCCTGAAGGATCTTAGTGCAGGCTAGTCTACATGAGAGGGCCAATGTCGGTGCCCATTTCCTTCCTGCTTCTCCTGCAGAAGACAAGAAGGGACTTTGCTTCTTCCTTCGTCCTCCCTCACCTTACACACTGCAAGACATCAAATCACTAGGGTGGTGCCGTGCGTTAGTCTCATCCCTGCCCCACATTTTCCACCTTCAGTGCCCCAGACCCTCATCTCCACACCTATGTTCATCTAAATAATGATGTCTTACCAATGATCCCAAATGCTTAGAGCTCCTTTGAGGGAACACTGTCCTACCCACCAAAACAGTAGATCTCAACCCTGGGTGAACACTGGAAATACCCAAGTGGCTTTAAAAAAAACTGATACCCGAGTCCTACTCCAAGAGACTCAGATATAATTCGTTGGAGTGGGTCCTTAAAAGCCCCCCTGGGTGATACTGATGTGCAAGCCAAGACTGGGAACCACTACTGTAAAAAGTGGTTCTCAAACTTCAGCATGCTTCAGAATCACCTGGAGGGGGCTTGTTAATACAGCTGACCCTTGAACTATGGGTTTAAACTATGAAGGCCCACTTATACATGGATTTTTGTTTTTCAACAAAAACAGTACAGCCCTATAAATTTTCTCTTTTCTATGATTTTCTTAACATTTTCTTTTCTCAAGCTTACTTGATTATAAGAATACAGTATGTAATACATATATCATACAAATATGTGTTAATCGATTGTTTATATTAAAGTAGACTATTAATAGTTGAGTTTTGGGGAGTTAAGTTTTACCTGGATTTTCAACTGCACAGGAGTTGATGCCCCTAACTCCCACACTGTTGAAGGGTCAACTGTATACAGATTTGCTGGGCCCTGTGTTCAGAGGTTCTCACTGAGCAGGTCTGGGGTGAGATCCAAGATTTTGCCTTTCTAACAAATTCCCGGGTATTACTGATGCTGTTGGTCTGGAATTACATGTTCAGAACCACTGCTTTGAAATAATGTTTCTCAACCCTGGCCAATAATGTTTCTCAACCATATGGGCCATATATTAGAAACACCTACAGAGTTGTTTATTTGTTTTTAAAGAATGATACCGGAGTATTACCAATTAGATCAGAATCTCTAAGGGGTAGGATCAAAGCACTGATAGTCATTTTAAAAGCTCTCCTGGTTATTCTAGTTCATGGCCAGGATTAATAATCTCTGCTCCAGAACAACAGACTTCAAACTTCTTTGTGCACAAGAATCATCCCAGAGCTTGATTTAAAAAATGCAGAATTCTGGGCACCATTTCCAGAAGTTCTAATTCAACAGAACCCCCAAGATCTGTACTTAAAAAAAAAAAAAAAATCTCCTAGGTGATCCTGAGGTAGGTGGTATCTAGACCACAACTTAAGAAACTTTGCTCTAGAAGCTAACTTAGGAAATAAACCCTTAACAGAGAAGCCCTGATCTCAAGCTCAGTCAGGAAGAGTCTGGAGGCCAACTGCCCGGAGCCACTGATGACACATCCCTCAACCAGGAACAACAAACAGTCTCTGTGGGGTTGACTGCAACCTGCTCTACCTACAATGACACCACCTGACCAGCAGCAGATACCCTCCCTTCCACCTCCCCTTCCCAGGTGTGCCTCACAGCTGCATAAAAACAATCTAAGCAGTCAATAACAGTGACCACCATACCTGCTTCTTCAGACCTAGCTAGGGTATAGGGTGCTGAAAAACAGAACTATGATGCCAGAAATACAATTCAGTGAATACAACTTTAGGGTGGGCAAAGTACATGGTACACAGAAGAAAGAAGGCAGGTGTAAAGTTAGACACTGGGTTCAAATTCCACACACATTACTGTGGAAGTGACTTCTCTTGATACTTGGGTTCTTGGTTAGTAATGTGGGTGGGGGTAATAATTCCTATCTCTCAAGGCTGCTTAGAGGATTGAGATAATGAACATGTGCCCAAACACTGCCAGGCAGGAACAGATGCTTAATCAAGGTGCAGTCCTTTCCACCCTGGCACCACCAAGTAAAATGCCAGAAGAGTAAACATTTTCCAAAAAGAGCATTAATACAGAGCATCTTCTAAAAGACTAGAATATACCTTTGTTTGATCACTTGGTACAACAGCAGAAATGCTCACTTTAGGGAGAAAAAGTTCCACAACATGTGGGGAAGCAAATACTGATTCTGAAAGCTGAGCATCAGCTGATTGGTGATGGCAGGAGCTTTGGATCCTTAAGCCTGTGGCCTTTGGAACAGGGCCATGGGGGAGCCTAGGCCAACCATGTGGGGATAGGGAGGCTGTTTTTCTCCAGACGGTCTCACCTCCTTCCTCTCCTCGCAAGGACCTCTCACAAGCAGCTGGTCACAGTGGGGCTGTGCTCATTGCTGTCCCCACACCCAGGCTGGGCTACAGGGCCCATTCAACTCTGCCCATAAAGGTCCTCATCTCAGGGACCCCAGCTGAGCTCAGCATCAGCTCATTTTGTCTAGTATGTCTCAATCTCAAGAGCCAATGGGCCTTAGGGTTTTCCTGATATAATCACGCATCCCTCTTGTCCTGCAGTGTTCATCTAGCTTCAGTTGCACCCTAGAGATGGAGGGGGGAGTGTTTCACCACAACTTGAGCAGGCCCTTTTAGAAATCCCTCTACTTGTAGCTGCTATCCACGTCTCTCTCTCTTTTTTAATTGAAGTACAGTTGATTTGTCTTAATTCTCCCTTACAGCCACATAAGACACATGGTAATGTTTTAGAGCTTTGTAGACTGTTTCTATGTCTCCTGAATTACCCAGAACTCTTTCCACCACTCTGCACTGCAGCTGTGCTAACTGCTGCTGTGTTTCTTGTTTCTTCCTAGCAAGACTTCCCATTAGGGAACCCCTCCCTCATTCCACAGGGAGTCTTAGGTTTGCAACTGGCCACCCATGGGGGCACTAAGCTGGAAGGAAGTGAACCTGGGTTTGCAGGTAGCCACCTTCCCTGGCCATATGGAAGCAGCCCACACACCAGGGAAAATAGAACAGTGATGATGTGGCCTGAGCCCCTGGGATGTAGCCCTTGGCTAAAAGAACCAGTATATTCCCTTTTTGGCTTATTCGCAGGTTGATTTGGGTTTCAGACGCCTGCAAACAAAAGAATCCTGCCTAATACACTCCTCAGCCATGGTTCTATAGGCCCTCAACACCTCTGCTTTGCTTCCAGCCCTTTCTTCGTCCAGATCCTGAAATGAGGGAACCCTATACCCCAGCTGGGTTTGAGCAGAGCAGAGCAGAGCAGGCCCACTGCCTCCCTGATGGGAGTACCCTCTACCTTGGAGAGAGGCCAAGGCAGTACCGACCTTTCTGGCAGCGATGCCAGATAGACAACTCACACACAGCACAAACCCCAGCGCCTCCCTGCTGCAAGTGCAGCTCATCTGGGGTGAAAGTTTTCTGAGAGGAACTTAGCAACTGGAGTAACAACTATAAGACTGCAGAACTCTGGTATCAACACAGCTGTTTTCTATCACATGACAACTTCCAGAAAGACTAATGTTCTGGGCATAGGCAGCGCCTAGCTAGTGAAACACCCCAAGGATACATCTTGCCTCTATCACATCAAATGCATTTCTTGGGATAATGACCCCAGCTCAGCTCCATCAGAAACTGAATGCCTTTGGGTCCACAGTGATAGAAGCAGCATTTTAAGAGAGGCTAGGAGGCAAGGTGATAAAGAGCACAAGTTTCAGATTCCAAGCTATACCTAAATACCAACTCCTCGGGAACTACTTATGTGGCCTTGGGAAAGTCATTTTCTTCTCTGAGCCTCAGTCAGTGAAAAAAAGATAAGAACCACCTTCCTTCCAGGGCCACTCTGGGAGTTACATAAGTTAACAGAAGTAAAACACAGTGACTGTCATACATGGTACCCTCTATTGTTATTAAACTTCTGTTTGGAGTCAGGACATCCAAGGACTCCTGGCTCTGCTCTGCCACCCTGTGCCTCAGCTTCTCTCTTTAAATCCCTTTTAACTCCAATTCTATGATCTTGAAATAAAATCGACCTGAACTGAATCTTCCCTCCAGGACCAACTGTGAGTTTCTGCTATCCAGTACAAACAGGAATCAGGACACAGGTATTTCCTATTCCTTCAGCTCAGGCACGTTAAGCTCTCTCTTGCACTGTGCACCAAGAACTCTGAGGAACGCTTCGGGGTCCACCCATGCAAGGTACATTGTGAATACTCCACAGATACTTCTGGATGACTGGCCCCCAGGAAGGGGCGAGAAGAGCCAAGCAGATGGCATGGTGACTGGCTATCTGGGAGGCCAGGGAATGGAGACGAGGTGGTACACAGAGCAGGTGAAGGTGGGTGGACCTCTCTCCAGGTCAGGTGGGGGTGGTGGGCATGGTGGAAGGACCCTGCCCAGGATCAGGGCACAGCAGGATAGGCTGGACCGCACATTTAGCATCCTGAGGCACTGCAACCATACTTTAAAATACTCGCTCACTCTCTGTGTGACCTGACTGACACATAAGCTAGAAAATTTCCTGGTTTTGAGAGAACCCTCTTAGTTTTGCTCATGTCAGAAAGCCAAGTCTGCCTCTTGTTCACTGCACCTTCCTGTGTAAAGAATTAGGAACATGGACAGTCTGCCTCCTCCAGCCCTAGCCACACCACCCTCACCCTGGCTCTCCTTCACTCCCACTGTTCCTGTCCCTTTAATTTCAACCAACTCAAACCCTCTGGCTCTTCAAGGCTACACACACACGCCACCTCCTCCAGAAGCCTTCCCAGAATTGCAGCCCACAGTGATCTTCACTACCTCAACTCTGAGCACTAGGCCAGACAGATCTTTGTAAGTTCATTGTAAACAAGCCTGTGTTATTTTGGGAGACTTTCCTTTTCTAACCCAGATCATTTGGGAGATTTTAAGGGCCAGAGAGTTTCAATTTTTCTCTTGCATCTCCCTTAGGCTTCTCCAGAGCTAATTACACAGCACATACTCCACAGATACAAAAGTTAACTAGTCAATTCCTAAACAAAGGCTCTGATCTTGTCTCAGTGTAGGGAGGTCCGCCATTGGCTGCCGCGGGGCATAGTGTTCACACTCTTGCTTCTCCAAGGCTGATGACAAACCCCATGTTAAAAATATCTCAAGCCAGGTACACAGGGGTGCTGGGGGGTGGGGCCTGCCCAGTGGCAGTCGCCTGGGTGTCCTCCTCCAGGCCCTCCCACTCTCTCACACCCACAGTTAATTAAAGGTCACATTCCTTGAGTCTATTTCATGGTTTAGGCATAAGAAGTGCTTTTCACAGTGGGAGCTTTCAGAGAGCTGTGGGAATGACACAATAGCAGCTCTCTTTCACGCAGAATGCCTCTCACACTTGTACACCAGCTTTCTTGGTTCTCTGCGCTATGAAGGCTGATTTAGAGCCTGAAGCTTCATCACCTACAGGGAGGGGCCCAGCGCTCATCTCCTGAATGTGGATGGGAGACTATCCATATGGGAGACCATGTAGGCCTCAGAGCTGCACAATTCCAGGTGGAACCCACTCCCTCAGCAACAAAACCAAAAAAAAACCAAAAAAACAAAAAAACAAAAAAAAACACCAAACTACTCACAGCTGATGACACACATCAGTGGCACCCTATGAACCAAACCCAATTCCACTCACACTGGAGGCTCTGAGGAAGCAACCAGTTATTATCTAAAAGCACTTTTGGGTCCTTACCAAGGATAGGAAGAGATCAAGATCTTATGCCCTCATCCCATAAGCCAGAAATCTTACTGCAGAATTATCAAGGAACTGCACCCAGGGTTTGAGGCAATAAGAAATAAAACTCTTCTCATTCAGACAAGAGACGTCTTCATTTGGGATCCAGATTTGATAAGACCCACACAGCCTTGGCCTTTGAGCTTGGCTCCAATGAGGCTGACACGCTCAGAAAGGTGAGGCATGTCCAAGGGAGGCATGCCTCACGTCCAAGGGAGGCATGCACATGGGGTGCATGTCCTCACGTCGTCACTCACCTTTAGGTCCAGGTACTCCAGGTCTTTCTTCAGCTGGAGGTAGGTGTCGTCAGCCTTCAATGAAAGCACACAGAGAAAAAAGCCAGTTATGAACACCAAGGGTTTCTAAAACTCAGGGCTTCGTGTGTGAACCATTTACACTGCACAGATTCAGGGTCAAAGAACTACAGCAGGGCAACACATCCGGGGCCACAAAGGAAGCACAAATATCTCAATGTAGCTCAAAGCCCTCTTTCAGCATGGTGGACCTTGCAGGTCACTGTGGAGAAAGCCAGCTGGTCTATCAGTTAGCTGAGGGACAGTTCGGGGGGAAGAGGGAGACAGCACACACACACCACTAAGACAGCAGTGCAGCTGAGGCCAGTGGTGAGCTCCTGAGACAAAACTAGACAGTCTAGCTAGAAGAGCATGCAATATCTAATTTAGGGTCCCATGAATCACCAATGCTCCAATCCTTGTCATCAAAAATGACCCTCTCATTAGTGCAGCTAAATGCCTAGAAGGGCAGGGAGAGGATGTGGGGACACAGGTAGGTCCTGACTGACATGACCTTGGGTTCCATGATGTTAAGCACCAGCAGCTGCTGGAAGTTTTGGCTCCCTTTGCTCAGCATGGGACCATGTCAGGAGTTGAGGAAGTTCCAGGGTCACACCTGGCTGCTTGCATTGTCTCTGACAATCTGTTGAGTTCTTCAGTGTAATTACCAGGAACAGTGAGAATAAGCAAAAGACTCTGATTTTCTAGAACTTGTGTTTCCCATGTAACAGATCACAGAAGCTGTTAGGCAGAGGGGCTGTAAAGGCTTGAGAAAAATGGCTCGGGTACCACTTTCTCAGCAGGATAAGAGGCCTCCCAGCAAACCAAGGCAAGTCAGGGCTGGGGGAGAGGGCCCTGTTTACATCTCTGATGTAACACAAGTAAGCAATGTGAGATGTTCAGGCTGTGCTTTTAAGCATGAGAAGACCTGAAGTACCATTGTCAGGGACACTAAGTGACTTCCAAAATGCTATTTCTATCCCTAAACTGTCCCCTTACCCATCGCTACTTCCCCTTCAGCCCAGTCCCTATACACTTGGAACAGCAGTAAGAGGACTGAATATTATTTAAAATCACCCAAATTCACAACTTAGGGGTTTTGCCTGTGTTCCCTCACATTCATTTTTCCAAGTACGTGTCCTGAGTCCCTCAGGTCTCACTAAAACAGGACAGTTAAGGAAGGTGACAATCCTGTCACTTCCCTCACCTGTCCTCTGACTGCTTTTCTGTAGCCCAGAGGGACCAGCCTCGTGTGAACATCTTCTTTAAGTTGCTCAAGATGCCTGGGAGAGCAATTCTCTGGTCCCTCCTTTAGAAGCTTGCCTGCAAACGTCCATGTCCTGGAAGGTTTATAACACTATGCCAGATAGAACCTGAATTTTGGCTCCAGCCTGCAGGCCTCTGGCTGAGGGATCCCAGGCAAGTCATTTTCCCTTCTAGATCGAGTGCCTCGTATGTGGTAGTAACTCCTGTCCTGCCTAACCTCTCCCAACTTACTGTGAGGTTCACTAGGATAAGAGATGTGAGGATGCTTTATCAGTCGTCAGGGCACTGCCCGGATGAGAGAAGACACTCTGCCTTTTCCCCTCCAGGTTGACACCAACGAAGCACACCTTTCAGCATCCCAAGGAGTGCCCAAGGTGGCAACAAGAATGACAGCCAGCACAGCTCTTTGGACATGACCAGCACACCAGCCTGGCATTAACTACTCAGAGCCAGAGAAGCCACAGTTCGGGTCCCTCACACCACATGCAGTCTCCTCCCCAGCACCAGAGGTGTGGGCCCCACCACCACTGCACAGTGTGTGCCAGTAGCATCCAGAAGCAAACAGGCAGGGAGCAAGGGAAAGAGCCAGACAGCAAATACAGACTAGAGTGTGGGCACGAAACAACACGAGCCAGCATGTCACTCCCTTGCCCCCAGGGGGGCCCCGGCCCTGAGAGAGCCCACCGGCGCTGACCTGGCAAGTGGGAAAGGTCAGCTGGTGCTGCAGTAACTGGCCGACGGCGAGATTTCGCACGCTGGCCAGCCTGGCCTGGTGCCGCCGTAACCGGGTGAGAAGCAGTGAGAGCTCCTCCAGCTGCAGGTGTGTAGACACATCATGAGGAAATTAGCCACCGCAGGAGCACGACGCTATAATTACTCTTCACCCCGGTGCCGGGACAGCACTGATGTGACACCATGAAGTAATTATTGCATTAATTCTGTCATCAGGACAAACAAAGGCACTGGCAGAAAAGAGGCTGCAGGAAGCGGGGTTTTTTTGTTGTTTTTTTCTTTTCAGGAAACAGCAACCAACAGTGAAACCTCACCCAGACTCAAGCTTTGAAGACAAAGTTAACTAAGCAAAGCAAAGACCAGGACGAGAGGAGAGGAGCTAATGGGAGAAAGTCGGGTGGCTGGAAAATGCTGCAGGCAAAAAAATGCTGCCTGAAAGAAAGGAAAAGCCCACGTTTTCCTCCACTTCCCCCAAGCTCTTCCTCTGATCTGGGGACCCATGCCAACTGGATAACACGGAGCCAGTCATTCAATTTCTCTGAGTCTCAGTTTCCTCATTTCTTCTTCTTTTTTTAATATTTATTTTTGAGAGAGAGCGAGCGCACGCGTGCACACGGGGGGGGGGGGGGGGGGGGCAGAGAGAAGGGGACGGAGGATCTGAAGCAGGCTCTACCCTGAGAGCAGAGAGCCTGATGTGGAGCTTGAACCCACGAACCATAAGGTCATGACTCAAGCCAAAGTAGGACACCTAACCTGCTGAGCCACCCACAGGCGCCCCTCGGTTTCCTCATTTCTAAAGTGGGGGTTGACAGCTGCCCTGCACACTGCATTTGACTGGCGTGGGTTGGGGGTGGGGAGAGCAAACTCAGTGAGGTGGTACTTCACAGGCTGCATTGAGTTCGTAGGGGTGGGGGTGGCGGGGAGAGGAGGAGCGGCTTACCGATTTTCCATGTAAACTGGGAGCGCTGACAGTGTGGGTCATGTAGCCCATGGAGGGCATGGAGCGTCGGTCCACATGAGAAGAGTTCTACGGTGGAGAGACAGGCAGTCACCCTGCGGTCCGGAACCTCTGCCCCTCTCCACAAGAACAGGCTGCCACATAGCACTATCCCTCTTCATCTGTGAAATGGGGTTCCACATTTTTCTCACCAGGATATAACAGTGTAAACTGGGAAAGCCCCTTGGAGAGATAAAGCTAAAGTTGGGGTTATTAAAAATTATTGAACCAACTGAACACAGGTATCTTTTCTGCCTTCCAAGCTGCAAGGAAGCAGACTTCCAGTTGTATGGTCCTTCATCTCTTATTCTCATCTGTGAAGTGGGCATGATAAGAGCACCTACATCACAGGGTTCTTGTAAGCATTAAAGTCAGGCCTTTAGTACTACACCTGGCCCTAAAAGTACTGCACAGGTATCACCTATCATTATTCAAAATCGCTCAAATTTGTGTTTAAACCACGTGAGGGTTCAAACTGAGCATTAGGGCTGAACCCCAGCTGCAGGGCAGCCCTCCAGAGTCTCACCTTGGTGATGTGGCCCCGGGCCTTGCTGGGAGAACCCCCCAGCGAGATGTCCACACTCCTCCGCTGGTCCGGCGGCTTCACGGTGACCCTCTCTGCTGGTGTGTGTGGCCGCCTGGGTGGGAAGGCCCTCGGGGGGCCCGGAGGAGGGATGTCCGAGGGAGACGGAGGCACAGAGATGGAACGGGGCACCTCCAGCATGCTCCTGCTCCGGCCCTGGTCGGGGAACTCTGGCGAGCCAGCACAGATGGGCGCCGTGGGGCTGCCGTGCCGGAACTGCTGGCGCTGCTGCCACTCGTAGAGCTGCCACACGGTGCCGTCCCGGTGTGCCCTGCGCTCCTCGCTTGACATCTTCAGGTGGCTGGCTCGGTCCTGCGCATACTTGTAGTCACTCGGCAGGTTGCGGGGAGGGGGCGAGGAGCCCCCTGAGGGGTGTCGGGTACTCTTAGGAAGGGTCTGGTAGTTTTCCGGGAAGGACAGGGACTGGCTGGGGCCCTGGCGGGGAAGGGTCTGGTCCGGCGGCAGGCTGAGGAGAAAGGAAAAAGGAGAAAAATGGGTAAGTTGAACAGCATGACATCTGCCAGGTGTTTGGAAACATAGTTAAGTAAATCCACAATGCCAGGCACACGAGGGAGCCCGCTAAGAACCCCAAAGAACACGGGGCGCCTGGGTGGCGTGCCAGTGGTCGAGTTAGCGTCGACTTCAACCGGAGTCCACGCGATCTGTGGTCGAGTTAGTCCCGCGCTCAGGCTCTGGGCTGGCTCCAGAGCCCTGGAGCCTGTTTCCGATTCTGTGTCTCCCTCTCTCTCTGCCCCTCCCCCGTTCATGCTCTGTCTCTCTCTGTCCCAAAAATAAATAAACGTTGAAAAAAAAAAAAAAAATTTAAAAAACAATCAACGCAGACCCCAGGACCTCAGTCACTCCCTCCCTTTGCAGAGGACTCCAAAACCATTGTTCTCCAACAACCTTGGAATATCAACCCCCCTTCCAAGCAACCCGGCTGCCCCACACCCATCACTTCAAGTGCAAGATGAGGGAACCTGCCTCCTCTTCTCCCTCCTGCTGTTCATCAGCTCTTCCAAACAGGTGTGCCCATTACTAGGAAATGCGTCCTAATTCTCTGGGTCATAAAGACTTGCCCTCTGCTGGTATCCTCACATCAAGTTCTGGAGGTTCTTAAAGGAAGTGGCCGGTACCAGTTCTTTTCTTTTTCCACTACTCTAGTCCAGATAGTGATTAATCATCTTCCCCCAGACAACTCAGACCTTCCTAACCAGTGTCCACACTGTAGACAGTCAATTGCTTGGGTCCAATTACTGTCTTGCTCCAAAAAGTTCAATGGCTCCCCACTGCTTACAAAATAAAACCCAAACCCTTTAGTAGTCACCACTCTCTAGCACCTGATCCCAACCCACCTTGCAGTCCTGCTGTTTTCTCACTGCTTCTCCAACCAGGACCGGGACTGGGCTGGGGCAGGTCAGGCATCTAGAGCCCAAGAGCCAGAGGTACTTCCCCTCAGATGCATAGATGCATCCCTGCACTTGCTGGAACCTGGGACTAAGAGCCTCACCCTAATCCCATCTGGCCTCCTACACACCCGGGCAGCTTCTCAGAGTGGAGAAAGCAAAGATAGCTTGACCCGGGTTTGGATGCTGGCTCTACCATCCACTGGCTATATGACCCTAGGCAGCTTACCGGACTGCTCTGAGCCTCAGCTTCCTCCTTGCAGAAACTTTTCCTTATTCTCATATTATTGTTCTTGCCTCCCCTATCTGTATGGGCTCCCCTTGCCCTATTCATCCAAATCTCACTCATTCTCCACAACACAGTCCCATGACCTTTACACGGAGGCCGTCAGCAATACTGCAGCTCTCAGGGTTCTTGCTCTGCTCTGACCTAGTGACTATGTGGTAGGAAACTTGTCCAAGGTCTTTTTATTGATGTAACCTTTTCATCCTCATAAGGCATCTCCTCACCAGATAAGCTGTAAATCCTCGGAAGGCAGGAACTATGTCTCACATTCTGTGGTACTGTCCAGGGTTGAGAAAGTCCTGATGCATAACCAGCCAGATATTGTTCTAAGCCAGTGCTACTCAAAGTATGGTCATGGACGGGCAGGCAGCATCAGCACCTGGGAACTTGTTAGAAATGCAGGTTACAGAGCCCCACCCAGACCTGCCAAATCAGAAACCCCGGGGTTAGAGTCAGGCCTCCTGTGTTCTAACAAGCCCTCTGGGTGGCCACAGTTTGAGGAGTGCCGTTCTAGTTGTTCTTAAATTCATCTTAAATTCAACTTGTTTAAGCACTTCCTTCTTGTCTTTTATGTCCTCACTCTCCCTACTATAAAATGGGGATACTAAGAATGTAATAGATTGTTGCAGGGATCAGAAATAGCTGTCATTCAAAAATGGTAGCTTTCTTCTCTTTTCATCGTTACCTTTGCAATTACAGAAGGTAATTTTAAGATCTTTTTGGCCCAGACCTGTTTAGTGCGTCCATCTAGTGTGTCTGCTTCCACTAGGTGGCAGGTTTGCTACTGATTTCCCAAAGCCAGAGGGGAATGTGTCTCTGAGCAGGGGGCAGTGGCTGAATCCTCAAACAGCATTGTTGGCAGTGGTGGCAGAAACCAGGCTAGGGGCTTCCACTGGGGAGTTCATGACTCCACCAACCACTGTTCGCTCTGACTGAAGCAAAACTCAGACTATGCAAAGTATGTCCTTGCTGTGCTCCCACCTGCACAAGCCTTTGGTCTGGTTCTGCAGCCTGCTCCCAGTGCCTATGTCACCCAGAGTACCCCCACACCGTTGTACCCCCAAATCCCTCAGCTGGTCCTCTAGCCTATGGGCTCTGCTTATGCACTATCATCCCCCCACCCCCACTCCCCAGGGTTGGCCATTTGGGGGCAACCCCAAAGACCTCAGTGCAATGGTGAGCTCCAGAGGCCAAATCAAGGTAACTAACCAAGGGTGGAGTGAGGGTTGCAGGAGGTAGGTTTGTAAGGAAAGGTAAAGATCCTGCCTGAAATAGGCAAGAGCACCCAGAGCAATGCTGCCCCCAACAGCAGATCCATTTGCCGGCCCCCAAACCCAGCCTTACCCAAAAAGAAAGCTCAAGGTCTCCTGCCCTCATTACCCTGCTCTGTGCCATGGGGCCTCCCTGTTCCAAAAGGCACTAAAGAGGATATTCTGATACAGCCACTACAAAGTGGTAATATCGAAATGTAAAATCACTTTTCATAACCAATTACTTATGCAACAGACATTCCTCGCCCTAACCTCCACATCAACTGTGCAAGACTTTCACTTTTGACTCTGTTCCTTATTGTAATATCTGAGTCCCTGATACCACCCCCACCCCTGCCTTTTTATTTTATGGGTATGTAAATTACTTTAAATACCCAGAAAAAAATGCAAGGCTAGAATTTCACAACAATCTCTTAGAATGTAGAATTCTAAGGGTACATCAGCTTATCCTCGAAAGACATCATTCTAAAGGAGTTTAATGATGTGAAACACAATAATACGTATCTCCAAGTACTAAAAGAACAGTTAGAAATAATTTCTTGTGTGGTCTAGAGCCACAAATATGAGATCATATTACAGTCCAAATAACCCTCCTTGCAATGTCTAATGTGCTCAATCTAACAAGATTAGTACAGTCTGAATCATATAAAGCACAGACATCCCTCTTCTATATTTTCAAATGGAGGAGGCTTTTTTATTAAGCAGCCAGATCTACTTATCACTTGACTGTAAGAGATTACAAATATACCTTTAAGGAAAACAACTCGGGGAATGCAAGATGCAGTCCTTTCCAGATACAAGTGAATGATCAGAGACTGTGCACTTCACGTGCTCAGAGACTAACAGCTTTCTTCTCAAAAGGGTGTCTTCAATTCCTCACTTTTCACCTTTCAGCCCATTGAGATCCACTTCCATCACTAGACTGAAGTTTCTCTCGCTGTGTGCTCAATGACCTTCAAGGCCAATGAATTGTTTTCATCTACAGACCTGATGTCACCTTGCCCCATAGATAAGAAAGGCTCAAACTCCCAGCTCATATCTAAGGACAGTTCGACGCTTTCCCCAACCCTGTCATCTCCTTGCAACTCACTTATTTTTTAGCTCTCCTGTGTGCCCCTCCGGCCCCAAGTACCGGCCATTGTGTGTAGCAGAATAACATAGGTTTGTGGGCTGCCAGAAGCAGTTATGTAGAGACAGGTCAACCAACAACTTACAACTGCATATCAGTCACACAGCTTTTGAAAGTCCTTTCTGTGCCCCTGCCACAAAGAGTTTCTCGCTGGCCAGGCCACATTTCTGGGTTCTTCCTGTCTTCCTCTCGTAGTATTCTGCCTCCTGACCTAACTTGAAGGTCCTAGCTCCACTGAGAAGGGCAGATCAGGTCTACCCATGCAAGCTCATCCAGAAGCTCAGTGGAGGGGCTCAGCCTGGGTGGCTCAGTCACTTAAGCAACTGACTTCAGCTTAGGTCATGATCTCAAGGTTTGTGAGTTCAAGCCTTTCCTAGGGTGAGTCCTGCTTCTTCTCCCTCTCTCTCTGCCCCTCACTCACTTGTATCCTCTCTCTCTCAAATAATAAAATAAATAAAATAAAATAAAATAATAAAATAAAATAACATAACATAACATAACATAACATAACATAACATAACATAACATAACATAACATAACAGGAATCTCAGTGGAATCAAAAGCCCCAGTGACTGATCAGAGACCTTAGGTTCCAGATACTCTTTCAGTGCCTCCCAGCTTTGTGGGAAGGCACCACCCGCCAAGGAGAAGTCCTCATTCACAGCACAAACCAGACTCCTTCAAAATGAAACTCCCTCCATCACCTGTCTCCTGCTCACCTCCTTCATGGAGACTGCTTTTGTCCACCCCTTAGGCTGGAAGTCCTCCTCATTCTGCCTTTGGCCCTCTGCTATGGCTCACTCTGAGCTAGGGTTCTCAAGCCTGGCTGCACATTAGAGTCACATAGGGGTATGGGTGAGGAGGGGAGTGTTGTTACAACACCTCACATCCAGGCTGTACCACATCTACTTACTTGCCAAGCCAAACTTGTTAACGTTAACTCTACCTGTGGCCCTCCTTACCTTCCAGGCCTCGATGAAGCAGTTTACCAACTCTTATACCTACCCAACCTCAACATCTGTGTATCCTCCCAACCATCTTCACAATCCTCAGCATCTTCACTGCTTCGGTTTGGGTCCTCCCCGTCTCCTACCCAAGGTAGGACCAGCTTACACTCAATCATTTTCTCTTTCAGGCTCTTCTCCATCTAAACGCTGCCATAGTGTCATCAGAGCAAGGAGTTAACTTGAAACAGTAGTTCCCAGTGCCAATATGGGGATGGACAGATAAGGACACTTTGGGTGAGGTATAAACTGAAACAGCATTGTTGGAGGACAATTTTGTAATAACTACCATAATTAAAATGGCATGTATCCTTTGACCCAGTCACTCCACTGAAAGTCATCTGTTCTTTAAGTACACATGCACTGATATGCAGAGACAATGGACAGGGATATGCACTGCAGCATAGTTTATAACAGCAAATGTTTGTAACCAACCTCACTGTCCATCAGTAGGAGATGGTATAAATATCACTGCAGATCCATACAATGGAATACTCTGCTTACTCCAAATTAATGATATATGTCTATATGTGCTGATATGGAAAGAGATATTCAAATATCTACATATAGACTTGCACATACACTGACACATTAAGTGAAAAAAGCAAGGTGAAGGACAGGGTTTCTTTTTCTTAATACAGTGGTTGGTCTTTAGGGACTGAAAGTAGGTTTCTGAAATAAAGTAGAAGGACACTTATCTTTCATTATTTATCCTTTGGTATTTTAATTTTTTTTTTTTTTTTTTTTTTTTTTTTTTTTTGTGAGTGGTTTACTGATTTGGAGGTACTGAACAAAGGGAGATTTACACATGGAACTAACTATGAATTTGGTGATGAATTAGTAACTGGTGCAAAGAAAATGAAGAAAACTTGAGATGCTTGGATGGCTCAGTTGGTTAAGCGTCTGACTACAGCTCAGGTCATGATTTCACAGTTCATGAGTTTGAGCCCCACATCAGGCTCTGTACTGGCAGTATAGAGGCTGCTTTGGGATTCTCTCTCTCTCTCTGTCCCTCTCTCTGCTCCTTCCCCATTCACACTTTCTCAAAATAAATAAACACTTAAAAAAAAAACACAGCAAACTATAAGCATGAAAATTATCAACACCAGAAAACAAAAATTATACAAATGAAATAATAGTATACTATATGGCCCAGCTGTGAATATTTATATTGTCATAATATAAAAACTGACTAGAAAAATTATGCTATATTGCGAAGCTAGGATACAGGTAAGTGTATGTCTATTGGAAAGGCAGAGTGGGGTATAAGACACTTCAATCTTTATCTTCTAGAGTAGAATGTCGATTGATAACTAAAATTGAAAAATCAAGAAAGAGCAATGTAAGTATCTTATTTGATTTCAGGTAAATTGGGAAAACTACTGAAAGAACTGAAAGTGGTTGCCTCAAAGGGACAAAAATCAAAAGTAGGGATGGATGGGGGTCATACTACTCAAATCCTTAAACTATGTGCATATACTGCTTTAATAAAAAAAAATATTATAAGAGTAAGGGGAAACTAAAACTACCATTCTCACTTTGATTGGGGCACATCAGAATCACGTGGCTGATTTCTTCACCATATATATGGACCTGCTGTATTAGAACTGGGATGTAGTAAGGACCATCTCAGCTAGAAAATCTCCCCTGGTGATCCTGATGCCTCTTTCTTGCCAGTACTCTTCAAACCATTGATGGCTTTCACAGGCCTCCAAGACTAAACCCAAAATCTTTAGCAAGATATACAGGCTCATCTGGGCTAAATCCTTATCTTTCCTATCTGCCACTATCTCTAGCTTCTCCTGCCTTTACCTCCCCTAACCTGCCCCATATTTACTTCAGTTCTTAGCAGTTGCAGCATGCAAGAGGAAATAGCTAACTTACCATGAGTAGCTTCTCTCTAACCACACCTGTTGCCTCTGCCGGATCCCCCTTCTGCTGCTAACTTCTTAGTGTTGAGGTACCATTTATGTGCTGACTACTCCCAACCGGGTTTCAACACCACAATCCATACCTGACATCTCCCTCTGAGAACTGCCTACCTGACATCTCCCTCTGGATAGCTAATAGGCTTCTCAAACAGGGTTACCAAAATGGGAACACTGACACCTCCCTGATCTTGCTCCTAAGCCTTCCCCATCTCAGTAACCACCTGGCTGTTCAAGTCAAAACTCTAGGGATCATCCTTGTTCCTCCTTTTCTCTCATCCTGGGCATCCAAATCACTGACAAGCTTTGCTGTTTCAACCTCCAAAATGTATCTCAAATCTTTCTCTTTCTTTCTATTTCCACTGTTACCATCCTAGACCATTACAACAGCATCTTTCCTGGGCTCTTCTTTCTGAATCATTAATCAGATCACATCAGTTACCTGTTTTAAACCTTCCAGTGGCTCCCCTACTGCTGTTTCAAATAAAATCCAATTTTTTTTTTTTTTTACCAAAGAGTAGGAGGACCTGGACGATGCAATGCCTGCTAACTTTCCAACCTCGCTCAGCAGGGAGGGCATTTAAAATCACCTCCCAGGGGGGCGTCTATCTAGCCCAGCACCAAGAATAGAAGCTTCCCACCTCCGTGTCCTTGGGAAGTAGCTTTCTGTTTTTAATAAGACACAAAATTTGAACAAATGGAACTGACACCTGGCCAGTCCCAGGTGGGAATGAGAAGAGAGCTACAACACAAAAGGACTTCCTTTTCCTAGTCTGTTCCACAATAATGTCTACCAATTCCTTGGGGGATTTCCATTGTAATTTCTCCACCATCTACCCTCACAAACTGCCCACCGAGACCAGATTAAAGAGGTTACGCTACCTACACATGCACAAAACACCCACACACCTAGAAGGAGGCCTAAGCTATTCCCTTGGGAGCACTCCTGCCACAACAGTCCACAGGGGAAAGTCTGGGCCCCACCAACAGGGAGAATGCAGTGAGGCATTTTAGAGTATGTTTATCACAGGCAGATAAGTCTGTGGCAGACTTGGCCTGAGCTGTGACACATCACTGCAGCCCCTCTAGTCCCTGAGGAGCTTTCTGAATGCATGAGGGCCTCGCTACCTCTTCTGCAGTCAGTGGTTTGTTTTTGAAGCCTGGGGATGGTGACACAATTTACTGTCTTCATAAGGAGGACAAAATGGGGAAGCCAGGTCACCCTGAATTTTTCACATTCAGAAAAGTGCCCTTATTAATCTAAAATTATAATAACATACAAACAGTGCTTTGCAAATAGCAAAAGATGCATGCCCTCTGAATCATTAAAACTGCTTCTTGAAGGAATAGGTATGATAAAGCCTCCTGTCAACAGTGCCTAAGCACCTCTCTGTGTGTCTGCAATTAAAAATGGATCTGTATTTACTCTACAAATATTTCCCGGATGTAGAGAAGTAGCAGAGTAAGAGATCAGTTACCATCTACATGCTGACTGTCTCCAGACACACTTGTTAGGGAACAGAGAAGCCACCTGATATAATCTCATACAGACTTGGCAGGTTCATAGACCCGGGTCTGCACTCTGGCTCTGCCACTTATCCATGTGCCCTGGGCAGGCTCCTTCTCTTCTCCAAGCCCCAGTTTCTTTGTCCCCAGTACAAACTGGGGACATCATCCCCTCCTTGCAGGGTTGTTACAGGAATTTATGGAGCTAATGGAGGTGGAGAGTTTAAGGCCAGCATTTACCCAGCACGTGCTGGGTAAATGATGGCTACCGTTATTACATTATTACACTCATTAGTAGCAGCCATCCTGAGTCTATTACTGACCTCCTGCCGTCCCCTTTCTGGGCTTTTGCCCAGTGCTCCACCTGGGCCAGGCTGCTCTTCCTCTGGCTGTGCTTTTCAGGGTTGTTCCTGGGAGGAAAGGCCCGCTGATACCCGCTGGTCCCATTCTGCTCTCCTGGGCCATATGTGGTGGGCAGCACTCCGTTCTTCTCTGCCCGCTGGGGCTGTGCTTGCTGGCCTCTCAGGCCACCAGGTAAATCCACGAACAAGGCATCCTCCTCAGCTGGTGAGTACGGGGACCTGGCCTTGCTCCTGTCCCGCTTGCCCTCCAGTGGGTCCCTCTGGGAACGGTAACGTTCTTCCTCTTGCTCCCGCCTCTCAAAGCCAAAGGAATCCTCATGGCTGCGGTGAGGACAATCCCTTGCATGTCCAGGTCCCACACGGCCACACTCTCGACAGGACTCTGTGTGATTGGCCTGGGGGACTGCCTGCCGCTCCACCTTCTCCATGTCCCTGCAATGAAAGAGGCACATTCAGTCCATTCCAGACAGCACCAGTGGCAGCCAAGACTCGCCAAAGAACAATACACTTTACACTCAAATTTCCTCCAGGCCTTTGCATGGACTATTCCCTCTGCCTGGAACATCTTTCACACCTAGTCCTTCATTCTTCCTGCCTGACTTCTAGTGCTTTGGGACCTGGCCTACATGTCACTTCCTCCAGGAAGCTACCCCAGACACATATCCCCAGTCTAGACTGGGAACTTTGCTGATTCCATGTCATACTAATACACTGGACCATAATTGTATGTTCACTCATCTAACACCCAAGTGGACTATGAGGTCCCTCAGACCAGAGGCCCTTCTGGCCAATTATGATATGCCTAGAACTTCTGTCCAATGACTGGTGTAGAGTAGATGCTTTATAAATACTACTGAACAAATAAATGATCTTATTCCTTTTCTCTTTTGCTCTTTGTCCATTTATCTGTCTGGAGCAGTCCAGCTTGGATAGAAGGCTCCTAAGCCCAGTATCTCTCCCACTGGCATCTAGCACAGCCCAAAGGACAATTAGCAGCATAATTAACATTCTTCCAAGATGGTGAGTAAATAGGCACAGCAACCTCTTTATGTAATCTCTTACCTATTTCTCAAACAGGAACCCATAAGAATGCTGACCTAACAATCCTCTAAACAGTCAGATTTTAGAGACAAGGAAACTAAGGCACAGAGAAGATAAATGATTTGTCCAAGACCATACTGCTGGGAAAGAGTGGAGCCACGGCTTAATCCCAACCAGGCTGCAGAGCCCATGTGCTTTCTATTGCCTCTCCATATGTATGTCCATGGCCTACATATGTGCAGACCTAGAAACTATAAAGGAGAATGGGGTGGGGGCCATAGGTCAGGACATGAACGGAGTCTACAGGAAGAACTTCTGAGGCACAGAGAAGGACTCCCCTTTCATGGCCTGTCTCCTATTGCAAGCTGCCTTTCTCCCTGCCTTCCTTGGGTCAGGATCCTAGTTATGTCTGCATCCCAATTACCTGGTACCAGGGACACAGCAGCAGCTCCATAAGCTTTGCAGAATTTAGATTAGGGAGAAAGGAGAACACACCCCAGCCCAGCAGGACCAAAAAATTGCCAAGGACCCTTGGATGGGGCAGCCGGTATCCCTGGAAAAAAGATCCCAGCCTTAAAGACATGAATAGACACTTTTCCAAAGAAGACATCCAGATGGCTAACAGACACATGAAAAGATGCTCAACATAGCTCATCATCAGGGAAATACAAATATAAACAATGATGAGATACTACCTTGTACCTGTCAGAATGGCTAAAATTAACAACACAAGAAACAACAGGTGTTGGTGATGTGAGAAAGAGGAACCCCCTCCTTAAGCAGGACAGCCTGTTTAAGATTCTCTCTTTCCCTCTGCCCCTCCCCTAGTCGTGCACTGTTGTACTGTTGGTAGAAATGTAAACTGGTGCGTCCACTCAGGAGAACAGTATGGGGATTCCTCAAAAAGTTAAAAATAGAACTACCCTAGGATCCAGCATATGCACGACTAGGTATTTACCCAAAGGATACAAAAATACAGATTCGAAGGGGTACATGCACCCCAGTGTTTATAGCAGCATTATGAATTAATAGCCAAGCTTTGGAGAGAGCCGAAATGTTCATGGACTGATGGATGGAGAAAGAAGATGTGGTATATATACAATGGAATATTACTCAGCCATCAAAAAGAATGAAACCTTGCCACTTCCAACAATGTGCACAGAGCTAGAGTGTATTATGCTAAGCAAAATAAGTAAGTCAGAGAAAGACAAATACTGTATGATTTCAGTCATGTGTGGAAGTTAAGAAACAAAACAGATGAACATATGGGAAGGCAGGGAAGGAGAAGAAAGAGAAGTAACCACAAGAGACTCTTAATGATAGAGAACAAAGTGAGGGTTGCTGGAGGAGAGGAGGGTGGGTGGATGGGTTAGATGAGTGATGGGGATTAGGGAGGACACTTGTTGATGTACTTGTGGACACTTGTGATGAGTGCTAGCTGTTGTATTTAACTAACAAATCACTGAATTCTACTGCTGAAACCAATTTTACACTGTATGTTAACTAACAAGAATTTAAATAAAAATTTGAAAAAGAGGGGCACCTGGGTGGTTCAAGTGTCTAACTCTTGATTTTGGCTTAGGTCATGATCTCACAGTTGTGAGATGGAGTCCCATGTCGGGCTCCATGCTGGATGTGAGCCTGCTTAAGATTCTCTCTCTCTCCCTCTCCCTCTACCCCTCCCCTACTCATGTGCTTGCTCGCGCTCTCTCTCTCTCTCTCTCAAAAAAATTGTTTTTTAAAAAAAGGAAAGTAAAAAAAAAGTCCTGGCCAGGAGATCCATCACTCCTCAAATGACCAAGCCAGAGGGCTCTCTCATTTTCACCTGAAAGCATACAATGGAAATGCTGCTGCATTTACATCTTGGTGGCCAGACCCCAGGCATCCTTGCAATGACCTAAGAACCTCAGCTACCAATTACCAAGCACAGACTCAGGGCAGAATCGATCCAGTCTGGGAGACAGTTAAAATGTCAATGTAAAGTAATTAAGAAAAGCAATCACAAATCTTACTGCCCAGGCACTCTCCTGACTTAACCATGAAGACACAAAGCTTTGTTTAAAAATAAAAATCAATTTCAGCATTTCAATTTCCATTTGGGGACCACCTTCCCCACTTTTGATCCATGTGGTTTGGGTGTTACTGACTCTACTAGTCCCTATCCAGCTGAGGCTCCAAGTCTCAGTAATCAGTTCAGGGGTTGACACTATTCCAGGCCTGTCAGAGTTAGTTCTGGGACTTTGGTTGGAGCTGGTCTTGAGCTGCTATAACTATATGGGAATCAGCTATTTGAGAATGAAACCAACACCAAGGAAAGCAGATGGAGAGAAACAATCCTAAAAATTTAACCTGAGCTCTGAGTTTTAACCATAACTAAACCAGATATATCCTTGGACTTTCTGGTTGTGAACCCATAAATTCTCTTTCTCACTCAAGCCAGTTTGAGTTTGGTCTCTGTTACTCTTTGCCAAAGAAGTCCTATTACATCATTTTATAATGACATATTTAGATTGTGATCTCTGAGGGCCCTTCCATTCCTAACGTTCAGTTGGTCTAGGAACACATGGGAAATATTTGGGGATTACTCTTTAAGAAAAAGCAATTCTTACTCTGCATTCATTCAGGGACCACTGTGTTCTACAGGGTACATTATAGGCTTTAACTCTGTCTTTCCTTTCTTCCTCTAATCCTCCATAACTGCATCAGTGTAACTCCAGCCAGTAGCCTTCGGGTTGCCTGAGTTGGTCTTTATCTTCTTTACTGTTTCTCAAACTCGGGAAACCACCCATGCAGGCTTTGCTAAGGCTGCTGCCTAGAGGACTAGAGCTCTGGCCGTCCTCTGGGTCAGACCCCAGACAAGTCACCGAAGCTTGATAACCTGGTCACTCCAGCTGTGAGATCTAAGTAACTGTACCCCCTTGTTATTTCCACCCCAAAGATAACAGTGCTTTGTCACAAAAACCAGGCTGTAAAACAAACATGCCACCTACATGTTATGATATTAGAACTGAAAGGAAAAGGGGGTTTTCTCAACTCCAGAAACCAAAGACTGTGGGTATGATGCCTCAGCCCAACCAAACGGCAGGGGGATTTTCCTTTCTTTATCAACCTCCATGTATTTACTGAGCAACTATCTATCTCCACTGGGGCAGGCACTTGGAGAGATAAGAAAATAGCACAAAAAACAGTCTCTGCCATCAAAGCCAGACAACCCTAAAGCCCAATTTAATCATGGTAACCACATTTAATCCTGTTCTCATTAACTGACCCAAAACCACGGAGGTTTCCAGTCTTTTTAACCTTGGAGCTCAATTTATAACTATAAACTTTAGTCTTTACTGTGTGTGCACATATGATGGACACACCCTGACATATGCCAGTACTTCCTGATAATAAAGTTGATAGACAATGACAAATCCTTTTCTCAGATTAATACCACCATTTACTGCAAAACAAACCTTAAGAGGGTGGCTAAAAGAATGGAAGTCTGCTAGTTACCTGGCAGCCTTCTAGACCCTCAAATTTGGGATTATGAACAGCTCCTGGTCTCTAACTGCTAGGACTTACATAAGATGCTTTGTGCCCCAAATATTCAGGCTATGGCTGCAGGTAAAAAAGGTGAAGGTAATGTCCTCTACTCCTCCACCTTAACTGACTTATTAAACAGTTAACTTAATGAAGTTATAGGATTTAAGGCAAAAATGTTTTCTTGTTTTCTCCCTGTCTCCCTATATTCCCTACAATTTAACCCACAACTTCTCAAATCAGGAGACCTGTCTCAAAATAGATTTACAATGCTCAGTTAGCACAATGATGGGAAAGAATGAAGCACCCCTCAGCCCTCAATGACTGTGTCACTCAGACAAGATGGCCATACAGGGCACACAGGTTTAGCTAAGATGACACAAGCCTTTCCAGTGCAGTTCATTACTATCATTGTGAGTACCCAGACTCAGTGACTATTCAAAAACGGAATTCTTGGCATTCAGTGACCATTTTGGCCAAATGCGTCAAAGCCAGAGAGCATAAGGTTAAGAGCCAGTCAGACCCAGATTCAAGAGGTGGTTCCACCCAATGCAAGCTGGGTGACCTTGAGCAAGTCTGTGACCTCTCTGGTTTCCAGTTTCTTATCTGTAAAATGGGGACAACAACCACTGCTTCTCTGGGCTGTTGTGAGGACTCAAGGAGAGAGTGCACAGAAAGAGCACAGCATAGTGCCTGGCAAACAGCATGCCCTCAAATACAAATCTGTTGACTACATCTATTCTCTCCCTCGTCCCTGACTCAATTTTTTCTAAGTGGTAATGTATCTAGGAAAAAACTCCCATTTCCCAACCTCCCTTGGAGCTAAGGGTGATCATGTGACTTAGATGTAGCCAATAAGATGTTAA